ATATCACATGTTCTCACTTATTTGTGGGAGCTAAAAATAAATAAATAAATACACACACAAACACACACAAAAAAAATCGGGGGGGGGGAAGAAGACATAACAATTGCTTTCCTTGAAATTGATACGACAAGTGAACAGAAAGGACATTGTTGGGAGGGAGGCGGGAGGGGGAGAGGGGGAGAGGGAGGTTTCGGTAATTGGCCACAATAATCAACCACATTGTATATCGACAAAATAAAATAAAATATTAAAAAAATAAATCAGGAGATGAAAATTAAAAAATATATTTTTAAATTTATTATTGTTTATTTTACATTCAAAGATGTTGTTGTGGAGCAGTGGGGGTGGGGTGGGTAAGGGGACAGAGGTGCAGGTGGGGTGGTGGGGCTAGCCCATGGCCAGACAAAAATATATTTAACAAAATTGATAATCTAAACCAATACATAAAAGAATATAGTTTGGTGAGTATTCTTTCAAGTACTATATTAAAAGTCACCAAGCTCCAGAAGTAAGGGGCTGGGGGAAGGGAACCACACCAAAATAATTGAAAAAAATTTTTTTGTGGTTTTTTTTGTTTGTTTGTTTTTACTGAGTTAGTTTTTTTGTTAGACTTAGAGAAAAAGACTTTTAAATTTCCATTTCATTTCTGACTTAGCAATCAAACTAGGGTACTGACCACAGAAAATTTAATGGTTTCCTAAAAATTAAAAGCATCACAAATGCTCATACAACTAAAGACTCATATGTATATATTTGATGCACAGCTACCAAAAACCAACTTTTCATTTAAAAATTTTTTTTTTTTTTTTTGGCAAACTCTGGGAACGTTAGTAAATATTTAAAACAAGGTCAATTCCATCTTATCACATAGAAGAGAGATACCATATCTGCCTTTATAAAATAAGTACCAATGGCATGAGCAATTCTTTTTTTTTTTTTTTTAATAGAGATAACTTCTAATTAACTCTTGATAGTAAAACATGCACCAAAATTCTAGACTAAAATGATAAATGGGGAAGGTGGGAGTGTTCATTGGATAGTTATAGCTTGCTAAATCCTGTGTCTGGGAGGAGACTGGATAACACTGAATAACTTTAGACTTCAGGAAAAATTTTTAACCCAGCAATATTAAGTCTTATAACAATATGGGGAAATAAGCACATTCATGAACTAATGGGAGTGAGAATCGATTCAACTACTTTAGACAGCAATTTGCCAATATCTAGAAAAACTGATAAGCATACCCCATCATTTTCAGCTACATACTATAAAGAAACTTGCAGCAGCATTTGTAATGGTGGATATTTTGAACAACTTAATTTCTTTTTTTTATTGTTATTGATTATACATATTTATGGGTCAAGAGCTGACTATCAGTACCTGTGCCCAAGTTGTGGTGAGGAAATCAATGCTATCAGCTTGCCCACCACCTCAAATTGCAATTATTCCCCATGTCCCCAATCCAACCTCTCCCATGCCCCCCTGACCCCCCACACCAGCAACCCTAATCTATTCTTTCCCTATGCAAGTTCAACACACCACTGAACAACACAATTCTTATATTTCTTCTCATATGTTCTTACTACAGTAAAGCAAAAGACAAGCAGAAATAAGAAAATCAAACTCCCATAATCTGCTTTCAGATAGTAATACTGTTACAGCTGACAACAGTTATGAAACAAACAAACAAA